ATCTCGTTTTTGGACCGTACACCACATTCCCGTGGAAAAATCATCTCTTGGTCTTGGGGTAGAAGAATACCAGTTGAAGTTGGAATGATTGAAATGTGCCCTTCAACTTTCAGCTGGGATTAATCGGTTTGAATTTAGAGTCCATATCTCGCTGTCTGAGTAAGAGTGTCTACGGATTCAACGTGACGCCGCCGCACTTGATGGAGGTCGCGTGGATTACATAGCTGTTTCCAGTATGCTTCGCTGGAAATGAACAAAACATTCTGGGAACAGCTTATACACGCGACTTTCATCAAATGTGGAGATACGCCTGCTCAGAGGACTATCGGTTGTAGGGGTAATTGAGTATTTTGAACATAAAGAGGAGTAAATTTATTTATGCCCCCTCCCCTCTTGTACATCGACTGCTGAATATTCAGTTGATTTTTCACTTCACACTGAGCAGCTTTACAGTAGAAACCTAATGTTAAACTAAACCAACGGATAAAACTGTGCGCTACCGCTCTAATCATCCGGAAAAGGAAACGTGAAACGAGGGAGTCTTTTAAAGACCAGTTTCAATGCACAAGGAGATTCTTTGAAAATTATGTATCATTCTTACAACTTCCGCCGATACATACTTACCTCTTATTTCTGACGCGTACCCATTTTTCTGAATATTCTACTAGTATTCTACTTGTTCTCACAAGAAAGCTGTGTACTTCCAGAAAAGAGATAACAGAAAATTCTTTATTTTTACATCTGTACAAGATGCACCGGCTTCCAAATCCCATTAGAGGTACTCTCTGTGTAGTCGACCTTGCGCGAATGTGATGTAGCAGCCAATCACTTATCACGAAACCTCTTGAACAGCGGGTGTCGATCGGCTAGTGATTGCTGAAATTATTGAGCTCTTATATGTGGTAGAAAAACAATCCTAAAAACAATCATCAAGATCTTTGTCAATGATAGGAAATTAGAGGCGGATTTCATCAAAATTTGCGGCTATTTTGTTTGAAAAAGATATCCAATACGGATCACAAGTGATGAGAAAAACAAAAAAAACACCGTGAAAACCCAGGAATTGAGAAACCTCCTTTTTGCGATGTGGACAGTGCAACGACGAATAGATACTGGGCCCCGAGGAAAAAGAACAGATGAGATAGC